TAACGGCTTTGGGGAAGTAGTTGCTAATTGCTTTGATTCCTAAGAGTTCAGATGCAAAAGCCTCTAAATGCCATTTGAAATTTTCTTCTTTAATGATGATTTTTATCAAACTTGTATATTTAAGTTCAGTGATTTCACTTAAATAACAATTAATAGGTAATTATCATTGCCATTTAAGTCAAATCACTGAACTTAAATATACAAGCTTGATAAAAATGATCAATTTTCAAGAAAATTTCAAATGGCACTTAGAGGCTTTTGCATCTGAACTCTTCACTTGCTTTCATGCATAAAATGAAAATCATGTCAATATTCGTTGATCCTTGAATGTGAACATGGACTGTCAAGCTTTAAAAAAAAGTAAGTGTTAAATTATCGCAAAAAAAAAAACAATTTGGAATGTGCATTTACTAAATTGAATACGATATGATCAGGAACAAACTGAAATGGACACCATTTTAAAGCATTAGCCATGTGTTTAGCATGGACTGCATTTATATAGCGTTTTCATAGACCACCAAAGCGCTTTACATTTGCCTCACATTCACTCATTCATACACCGACGGTGTATATATATTATATATTTACCTTCATACTTTTCATCTTCGTTTGCTCTCTCTGCCTCATGTACTCTTAAATCCAGAAGCATTACCTCCTTGTTTTTCCCCACCTGAGCACAGAGAGAGAAAAGATCTGACCTGTGGTGAGCCCAAGAGCCAACGGTCTGTGTTTGCTGATCAGCGAGAGAGATTAGCGCTTTTGTGTTTGCCAGAACTGCTTGTGTGCAAGACAATGGCTACTGCTGAATTCCTCACATCATCCATGAGTTTGTGTGTGTTTGGCTTTCAGTTAACTTAGTCATGACTCATCGGTGCAATTTTTTCTGTTTTTCGGGCATAGCAGGTGTACCTGCTTTGTACGACATTTTAAGTTTTAGTTTTGTGACTAGAGTTGGGAATGTGAAATCAATTCTAATTCTGAATTCTTACTTAAAGTCAGGAATTGGATTCCTCTTATAGATTCATTTGCGTGCATTTCTAAAACCAAGACTCGCGCGCTGTTTTGAGCACAGAAAGCCGCCTCTCATACTGAATAGCTTGGGATACGGAACTGAGTTCTCTCCCTTTGTGCCGGAGGATCGGCTCTCTTCCACTGTAATAAAATTAAATGCCTTGCCAAAGGAGAAGTAAAGGCAATGATTTTGTCCTATGTCCTCATAGATATTATTATTAGGACAAAACATGTGACCTGTTGAATGCGAACACATATTACATGCAGAACTAATGTTGGGATAAATCTTAGCTAGTTTTGAGAAGAACGTAGATAAGAACGTACTTCGCGAGCGTTAAAAAAGTACGTTCTATATAGTATGAATATGGGTAGGATGAATGAGTCTGGACGTACTACATGCGCCATGTTGTCATGTGACGTGTGCGAAAATTTAACCCTCAGGTGCTCTTCGTTTCGGAGTTACACTTGTTATCCTCCCGGTCAAAAGTGACCGGACACCTAAAAATTTAATTTCCTCCATCCCAGTAAAACCAATGCAATTTATTTTTGTTCTATAATATTTATTCTTTGTAAGTTAGTATTTTGAGAAAATTTGATTGAATTTATTAATATTTATGCAATATTTATGGTCTATTTTTGCCATGGAAAAAAATAAATATATATATATATATATATATATATATATATATATATATATTTTTTTTTTTTTTTAATTATTAATGCAGTATTTTAGTTTAATAAAGAGTCTAGGCCTTTAGAAAAAAAATATTTTTTGAAGAAAATTAGCACCATCTGGTTACAGAATAGAGAAAAAGCATACAATCATGGTGTAACCACTAGATGGCATGTACAGCTCTCTATGGAGAAGCATGTGAATTATCCAGATGTTTATGAACACTTTTTTATTTTGGTGGATTTGAATATATAGTTGAAACAATCTCAAAAACGAAAATGTCAAAAAAATAAATAAACATTTGTGAATTTTTGTGTTTTTGTCAATGTCCCATTCATTTCCTATGGGGGTCATTTTTGACCAAATACCACAAGTGTGACTATTTTTTTTTAAGACCACTTAGCATGCTCAGATCATGACCTCAATTTTTTTGTGTGTTCACATACATAATGCCATAAAAGTCACCAAGTTTCACAACATTCTGATGGAGCTGTGATTTTTAGAAATTCAAAACAGAAAATTTTTCGGTCAGAAATGACCGAAGAGCACCTGAGGGTTAAAGAGCCCATCCCAGTGACTGCACAAACTTCGCACTGTTTTTAGTTCTGCTTTCTGTTTTCATTTGAGATTTTGCGTCGTTTACGTATTTATCTCCTAACGTTACAGCCGCGTCTCCGGTTTCCGCCATTTTCAAATAGAACCACAACTCCTCTCCCATGGCATCATGGGATAGTAAAGTGTCCATTGTATGCGCACTTCAGAATCTCGCCGGAAGTAGTAGGTCATTCAAGTACTTTATTTTATTTTATTTTTACTCTTAACTGTTTTTATTTATATTGATTGCATTTACTGAATGACCACTGTGCCACTGTTTGTCCGACTGGTACTGTACATTTTATTTTCGACACTGTATTTTATTTTTATTATTATGATTTTTTTTTTTTATTCTAAACTGTTTTAATTATTCTGACTTCTTTAATTTATTCTATGTAAAGCACTTTGAATTGCCACTGTGTATGAAATGTGCTATATAAATAAACTTGCCTTGCCTTACTTTTCGAATTCTATGATTTCGGACGTACTTCTCTGCTCGCATACTGTTTTTCGCATACTATATAGTAGGGAAGTATTCGATTTCGGACGCACCCTGTGTCTTGCACAGAGAGATTGCATTCTCCCATTCTCTCTCTGTAAAGTCTATGCCCAAATCACTTTGCCAGGCATATCGAATACCATCTAAATTTGGTGGATCTATATAGGATATAATAGAGTACAGTATGTACATGACACAAACCCCTTACTGTTTGGACTGAAATCAAGCAACGTTTCGCTGGGCGAGGAAGGGAGTAGCCCTGGAATGAGTTAAATCCTTTCTTTATAAAGCTGCTGATTTGCACAAATCTGAAAAAAAAGGATCTTGGCAAAGCCAAACGACATTCAAGATCTTCAAAAGAGCAAGTAGTTAAAAATAATAAACCTTTCAAAAGCCTCATCCCATTCTCTTCCCAAACACGGACTGCAGAATACACATAGGATGGAGGAAATAACCCAAAATAGAGGCTGCCTGCAAGCCAAAATGCTTCCTAAACTTTTTATGAGTAGATATGTCCAAAAGATTGACTAGTTGTGTGTATTTTCACCAAAGTACAGGTTCATCTTATCACCTCCAGGAGAGGTAATGTTTGTATGCCAGTAACTTTTGCAAAGAAGTCGTCTTCCAGTGAAGCTGTATTATCTATCGCTTAGATCTTAAGCCAGGTTTGATTGCTCTATAATTTAATGTTTTAAAATGTTATGCAAATCCCTTCTAATGCCATTGATTTTTCTTCTCTCCACGACAGTGCCATGAATATATTTCCATGTGTAAATAGCATAGCTTTGAATGAATCATACGCCTCATTTAGTCTTTTAGCAAAGTTTGAGCGCAGTGGTAAAGGTTGCTCATGCCTCAAGTCAACAATTATGTCATGATTTGTACAATTTGTCTACAGTTTGCTAATACCTAACTTGTCAAACTTTAAAATGCAAGCACTTTTGTTGTATCAGAGAACATGGTGATGTAAGTGTTTTATTGAAACTGATTGAGGTATACCTTATTTTATTACATTTTGTTTTGTGCCAAAAACAGTCATTTATTGTCACCATCCCGGTATGGGGACGCCTAACTTTACTTCACTATTCTATTAAATCCTAATCTACTTATGACAAATGATATATCATTGGAAAGGTCTAAGACTTCTAAATAGATATTCTACCCCTGTTTTGTGTTAAATTATGTAGGAAGAGTAATTGATGAATTTATGACAAGAGTGAACTTCAAAAAATCTGCATCATAACAGGTCTGACCTTTGTCACACCCACAGTCGATGCACCCACTTTTAATCATTGAAACTTCTGTTTTTATGCTAAAAGTTCATAATAAAACATATAATCTAGTATTTTTCAATAAAAAATAAAAAATTATAGTATAATATTATCCTATAAAAATGTTAATATTGATATTTATTATCCTCTAAAATATAATATTATTTTTTATCGCCTTTTTATTATATCACATATTTTAGTAGTTATCATAAATTAGGCATCATTTGAAAGCTTATAAACTCAGAATTCATCGTGTGAAAACTGTTTTACAATTGAACATTGCGTTACCATAGAAACGGTACTTATTTTATCAGGCTCCTCCCCTTTTGGGCGTCATTATATTTCATAATTTGTGATCAAAACCTTTTCTAATCTTGACAAAACTGATATTGTCAGAAAGGTCAGAGTCTCAAGGTTCCAAATTTTGTGACAGAATTGATATTTGGACAGAAATGTATTAATTTGTTAAGGCAGAATGTATACAACTAAATTCAATGGAATTCAATGGCACCCGGTGGCTATTTTTGGTACTACGCCTAAATAAAATCTCATGGGAACTTCAATTTTTGTGATATCAACTTCAAATTTGGAACATAACTTGAAAAGATTTATGGCTTTGATTTTATAGAAATTTTAGAGTAAAAAATATTTTGTAAAATGCATATTTTATATAAAATAAAAAATGTATAGTACAGTATATTTGATTTACTGTAAATTTAAACTTCCATAACTTTTTCATACTTTCATTTTTTGAAGTGTTTTCACTTCAGTGTGTTTTCTTTAAAACAAGACCAAACTTGGGTATATATTCCAAAACATTTTTAAATTACAACCATTTAAGTTTGAATGGTGCATTTTAACCCCCATTCTCAAAAAGGGGGGTGACGGCTAAGGGGTTAAATAATTAAATTTTTCATTCATTAAATTTTCATGTTATTGTATTTTTGTATAGTGCGGAGATCCTTTCAAGGAAGACGATCTTGTGGTTCTGAATGGGTCTAAAGAGGAAGTGGAAAAGCTGCAGAAAGCCATGGAGGAGCGCCGATCAAAGGCTAAAACTGCAAAAGTAAACTGATGCCTTTGTGGTGTAGAATTACAGTGATGTTTGGGATGTGCTTGATTGGAAATGAGATTTAAAAACCACCATTAATGCAAACCCACATCCGTAATCTAAGTCACTGAGAAGAGAGGGAGTGACACACATTCACTTCATTTTGAAAAGCACTGTTTTTGTGTTTTATAAACTATCCTTATTTTTTCTTTGACAACAGAAATCAAAGAAGAGCAAAGATACTAAAGTCTCCAAGAAGCAGGATTCAGAAGGTACAGTAACATATACGGTTTGCATTATAAATCACTTTAAAGTTCTATACAAATTAATGCTTATCACTAGGGCTGGGTAATAAATATCGATTTCTCGATATTAATCGATTCTCATTTTTACGAACCGATATCGATTCTTAAATCTCAAGAATCGATTAGTCATCCTGTTTCATTTGATCGCGGCTGCGCGCATCCAAAAAAAAATCGCATTAATCTTTGTGCTTTGTTACTATTGATATGAAACAAAGTCTCAAATTTCAAATTATGTCCATTTTCTTTAGAAATTCAAAAACATAAATGATCGTTATCGTTATATTTACCTCAGAAAACCCACATAAACTCGTTAGTCAGCTAGAAAAAATAACTCTAGAGAGGAGCATTTTGTTAAATATACACACCATATTACATATGCATTATAATCTTAATGTTCTTCAATATTTAATGCATATTTGAATAAATCTGGCAAGTTTTTATGACAGCCACCATTTAAATGTTTATATTTCATATAATCTTCTTATTATAAAAATAAATACAATTTAAATGTATTATCATTTATGTTCATTATTACCTTCATATTAGGCTAATGAACTAATGAACTAGACTCCCATAGTTTACAGCATTAGTTAAGAGATTTGATTCCCTTGAGAAAATTTGCCATTTATTGTAACTGATACCCAAAATAATCAATATCGAATCAGAATCGAAATCGAATTGCAAGCTTGTGAATCGAAATCGAATCGAATTGTGAAATTTGTGTCAATACCCAGCCCTACTTATCAGTCATTCATCCTTAGCCAAAATAAAGAAAAAGTTCACTCAAATGAAAAATTTGGTATCATTTAATCACCCTTTTCTCATTCCATGCCCATATTAATTTCTTTCTTCTAGTCACTGACAAATAATCAGTGTCATGTGACTTGCAATGTTCGATGATGATATATCATTTTCACCAAATTATAATTTTTTAAACACATACATGAAAGACTTTAAGAGCTCAGACGGAGAGGACGGTTTTCACACAAAACCTATCATTTGGCTTCAGATGGCTTTGTGTACAATATACAAAATCCACTTTAGGTGTGCCTCAAATCTCAGTTTTGTTGTTTGAGCTGTTAAGAATGTTTAGTTATGCATTAGACATAATTCCAGTGTGTGAATTTCTCTCTTTGTAAACAGCCCCTTTCCCTTGTGTGAAAGTTGTATTGGATTTACCGGCTTTACCGGCATTGCATTATCAAGACAGCTGTGTTGAAAGATTGAAAGTATTTCAGACAGGTTTAGTAAGATATTCTGTCGTCTCATGATAACACATACTCAAAACTTTGGGCTCAGTACGGTTTTTAAAGGGATACTCCACTTTTTTTTTGGAAATAGACTCATTTAACACTCCCCCAGAGTTAACCCTTGTGCATCAATTAAAAAAAGTTACACATAGGTAAAAAGAGGACAAAAATGTCCATGTCAAAAAACTGTCATAAAAATGTGACGCTTTGGAGCACAGACTTTGGAGCAAGTTTGGTATCATTTTAAAGAAGACCCTTTGCAGATTATTGCTGAAGTAAAAAAAATAATACTAAGTAAATCCAAAAAAAGTTATATAGGTATAAGTTAATGAAAATTATTTATAAAAAAATATTTTACATAAAATATAAATTTTATAAATCAGGTTGAACTCAAAACTGCAATAAAATCAAAGCCATAAATCTAAATAGGTTGTGTTCCAAATTAGAGGATGATATCTCAAAAAATTAGGTTTCTGTAACAGTTTGTTTGGGTGTAGTAACATATTTTCCCCATTGGGTGGCAGCAAAACCCCACTGGAGCTCACAGTGATTGGATTTGAATTTGCAGTTTTTCTCTCTCAGTATTACAAACACACACATGCGCACACACACACATATTTTTTTATAACACACATACTAACCACACTCTGACATCCAATACCAACACACCCACACAAATATTGTTGCATAATTTATCCAGTTGGCTCTATAATATGCCGAAGCAGAAAACAGGAATAAAGCGATATTTGTTTATAGGCCAAACTTAAAAAAAAAATGGCACCATCTGATAAAAAAATTGTAAAAAATTAAATTTTGAAGCCTTGCCCACAGAATGAAAGCCTCTTAACAAAGTTTGCATAATTTTATAGTTAACTGAACCGGGGATTTAAAATGGCAGTTTTAATGGGTTTCAATGGGGAAATTTTTGTCCAAAAGGTGCTAAGAGGGAGTATTTTTTTTTTGTACCTAATGCAAAAAAAATTTTTTTTAAAGAAAATGACAGTGAAATAGTAAAATGCCAATAAAAAAACACACCTGTGGCAAGTTTTTTGCAGTTAGCTTTAACACAGGCAAAGTGATCAAAAAAACAAAACTGAAAAGGACAAAAATGTCCATAAGGATGCACAAGGGTTAAACAGTTGGGTTTTACCGTTTTCAAATCCATTCAGCCGATTTTCTGATATTTAGAAGAATATCAGTAACCAGACAGTTTCTGGTCTCATTGACTTCCATAGTAGGAAAAAAATATATACTATGGAAGTCAATGAGACTTCCATAGTATATTGAAGAATTTTGATTTTTGTGTCAGTCACACTGAATTTTGAAGAAGGGATTTTAATACAGCTTTAGTGCTATGGGTAATATCTGTGACATGCTGTTGATTTCCACAGAAAATAATTTACATTTGTGCAAACAAGCACGTACATTGGATGTCAATGCTTGTAAATAACTGACAAGGCTCCGAGTTAAGCACCTGTATTGCCACAAAACTTAAGCATTTTATGTATTAAAATAGGATTAATGTGAGAAAATTGCTTGTTAATCGTGTCTGTGGACACGGTAGCTTTTGCAAAATACCCACAAGCCAAGGATGCCAGCAGGGTCTTTATAAATACAAATTCAACACTAGAGCTTCACTTTTCTAAAAATAAAAAAGCCCCATAGACCTCTAATTTAAGTGCATTTATACTAAACTGAGGGACAAGTCAGAATGAAGTCTGTGGAAAGTACTTGTATTGAACTCATAGCATTCCTATATAACTATAAGTAAATATGTGAGGCTTGAATAAAGGTTAAACTTCACATAGAAATAACTGACCGGAGTTATCAGTGTAGGACAATATCAATATTAACAGAATTGTATTTTATCAACCCTTTTAGTTTCGCTTCAGTGTAAAGTGTACATGTGATTAATTATCCATGAGCTAATCTCACACATGTTAATGTTTCTTTAGCCTGGTTCATACTGAAGTAAAAGTAAAAAGTGTGGATAAAAAATCAATTAAACAAAACTTTGATAATACAGATACAAACAAAATGGGAAAGAAGCTGTAAGCATCCATAACCTTTTATAGATAATGTTTGTCTTGGACATGAATCCTTTTCTTCTAAAAAAATAGATTTTCTGCAAATATGTCTGTCTATCTATTTTTCTAGGGTGTGTGTGTGTTTGTGTGTGTGTGTGTGTGTGGTGGGGATACAAACATTAGGTAAATATACAAAGGAGTTAGCCATAAAAGCTGCATTTATTAATATATTAATATTAATATGTGAAGTCACATATTCACATTTATTAATATGTGAAGTCAATAGTTCTTCACAGTTCAATAGTTCTTAACTGAGCATCTGATCAAAGTTCAGTGCCATGTTTCATACTATTTGAGTGCACATTAACTAATAAAGGGTACATGATATCATACAGTTTGACAAAAAGCTCTTATTTTATTTAAGCTGAGAAACTACTGTTGTCTCATGGATGAATTAAATATAAATAAATAAATAATATTATATATATATAGGATGTTTGAGATTAAAACATGAACAATTATGCATTTTATTTTAAATTTTAAACTAGGTGTTAAGTGTCTTGCTCAGGGACACATTGGTGTCTCACAGTGAATTTGAACCTGGGTCTCTCACACCAAAGGCATGTGTCTCATCCACTACACCATCACCACCCCTTAACTAAATTTTAAACATTTAATATGAGCTTTAACAAAATGCTGTATAAAATAATTTGTGAATGAGACTTCACGAAAGTATCCCTAAGCATCAACTCAACCTTATTATCATGCATATTCTCAGAAAACAATGTTTTGTGCTGATTAAACTTCCCCTAAAATGGTTAAACTACTTATTTTTAATACTTTACTAAACTGGTATGAAACTACTTAATATTTAGTTGATTTTCTTTCTTCTTTTCTCTTATAGTGGCAGAAAGCTGTGATTTACCCAAAGACACATCAGAGACTAAATCTACTTCACCGAATGGAGACGACGGCAGTGAATCAGGTATCCCACCATGCCAGGGTACAGAAGGGATGTGGCTAGATGTACATTTAGTTTAGAAAGCACAAGTCTGTAAGTGTCGATTTCTGTATCTGTACACGAGGGGCAGAATGAACACATGTAGATGTGACGTATTTCGTCATCGTTTAGGAGGAAGGAAAGGAGAGCAGTTTAAATTAGAAAGAAATATATTGCAACTGCATTCATTTCTTGATAACACAACGTAGTCAGGTCATGTGAAACATTTATCATTGCATACTGGTTCACGTGTGATTTATAAATAGTATTCAGGCAGTGTGTACAGTGTTATATAGAACTGTAAGCATTATAAGATTTTATTTTTGTTATTTTATATCCATCATGACAGCAGAGGAAGAGAACGCATGTTGTCTTGTACGACTCCAGAACTGGCTTTTTAATCAATCTGTTCGCATTTTCATTCAAGTTCATTTGTCTTTAGCGGGAGTAAACGGTGTTCAAAAGTTTGGGGCTGTAAGATTTTTAAATGTTTTTAGGAAGAAGTCAATTCTGCTCACCAAGGCTACATTTATTTGATCAAAAATACAGAAAAAAACGTAATATTGTGAAATATTATTACAATTTAAAATATATCTGTTTCTATATCAATATATTAGTCAGCATCATCACTCCAGCCTTCAGTGTCACATGATCCTTCAGATATCATTCTAACATGATGATTTGCTGTTCAAGAAACATTTCTGATTATTATCACTATCAGACGACTTTGTGGAAACTGTGATTCATTTTCTCTTTGATGACTAGATTGTTCAAAAGAACAGCATTTATTTGATATAGACATTTATAACATTATAGATGTCTTGTCACTTTTGATCAAAAAAATGCATCTACCCTTAATAAAAGTAATTTCTTTCTAAAATAAATCTTGACCCCAAATTTTTGTACAGCAATGCATTTGAATATTTATTTGCGTCTATTTATGATGATGTGCATCTATTAGTACACATTTGGTATTATATACATGCATGTGGAAGTATAGATCCTCTATGACCCATAATGCTTACAGTGCTGGTCAGAATTATTTTCCCCATTTGGTAAATATGAAATATAAAAAATAAATCTGCATTGTTAATCCTTTTGATATTTTATTTAAAAAAAAATATATTAAAATAAAATAAAAACAGCCAATATTTTTTATGAACCTCCTCTTTCCAAGATCGTGTTCTCCTATCATGCCTTCAATGAAAGGTTAGATTTGTCCTATTTTTTAAATAAAATATCCAAAGGATTACCAATGCATATTTATTCTTTACAGCCATCTTTGATCATATTTACCAAGGGGGCAAATAATTCTGACCCGCACTGTATATAATCAATAACAACACAAAACATCTCACTTGCCATCCTTTTGTCAAACTGTGGTGTCCTCATGTGAATCTGTGGAAGCCACATGGGAATTCACTAGCAAATTATTTACCCCAATATGCAAATTAAGTGGCGAATTCATCTAGGCACCCTGGATTGTCTTGTCCTCAAAAAAGAGAGAGAGAGGTAGAGAGTTGTCAACATTGTTATAGGATGCAGCTTGTGCTCAGTAGACTAAGAGAACATACAAAAGACTAGCCTGGGTTTCCCCATACTTTCCTGCCACAGTGCGATTTTATTCACGCTGCTAGGTACCAACGTCTCGTATGCCGAACGTGACGTTCTGCGTCTGCTGAATGTCTTGTCACGTTCATTGAGACGAGTGCATGTTGCAAAGTCATATGAATGAACCGATCAGAACGCCGCTGACACACTACACCGAGCAGTGTTGTACTGTGAATAGTGTGTTAAATACATATTAGTGGAAAAAAAATTAATAAATAACTTTTAACGTGCCGCACACGACTCGTATGGAACGCCATTGTGGCCGAAACGTGTGAAACTGTTGTTAACACGTAAAGTACTGGTTTTAGCACCTATAATATAGGTGAGCATTTTAGACCATTTTCACAATCACAATAAAAATTCATCTTTTTAAAATTTAACCACTATGCATTATTTTTTTAGAGAGCCCCTTCTGGCACCCTTATACGGAAGCCCTGAATCGCAACGTAAAAAAAAAAAAAAAAAAAAGTTAAAAAACTAAAAAGAAAATCTAGCATTTCAATTTTTTTCTCGAAACGTTTCGACTTTAATCTAAAAAATGTAAAAAATAAAATAAAATCTAGCATTTCGAGATTAAAGTTGAAACGGGTCGAGATTGACGTAATCTAAAAAAAATGTAAAAATGTTTTTTGATTTAATATCGAAATGGTAGTTTATATATATATATATATATTTTTTTACATTTTTTTAAATATATATATATATATATATACGCACACATGGGGACATTTAATATTCAACAATATTATTGATCTGTGTTGAATTATTTTCATGTTATCAATGTGAAGCTGCTTTAATACAATCTGTATTTTAAAAAGCGCTATATATAAAAATGTGACTTGACTTGACTTGACTATATATATATATATATATATATATATATATATACACACAAATATGCACTACTCACATATGCGGTGTGAAACGGCCGTAAGATACACACCGTCGTGTATACATAAATCTCTGAACCATTGTCTTCTTCCTCGTGTAATTTCTGTCACTCTACGTCATCTGGTATAATGGAAACGATTGGCTATGACGGACAGGCGCGTTTGATAGACATACGTAGCACCCAATAAACGTCTCTGGGCATTCGTAAACCACGCCACAAATACGAGAAAATGAACATGTGGTTCCCAGAATCTCGATGAGACTTAGGTCTGACGTGCCAACAAAAGATCATAATCAAGGAAGAATTTAAGAAAAGATTATAATCACTCCATGTATAATCACGTTTTCATGGCAGCATTAAACACAGAGGTCAGTCACGCAGAATTACGGATAAGCGTCCATGATAGTTAGTACACTCTTAGAAGAAAAGGTTCTATATAGAACCTGAAAAGGTTCCATCAGCGCTACGTATTTGGAACCCCTAAAAGGTTCTATACACTCTTAAAAAAAGGGTTCCTCTGGGTTCTATATAGAACCCTGGGGTTCCATACTTTTTACCAAAAAAAAATGGTTCTATATAGAACCATTTTGGAGTTCCATATATGAAGCGGGGGATGGAACCATTTCTGGTTCTAAATAGAACCGTTTCTTCGAAGAGTGTAGTTTGCATGTAACATGACATCCTGACCCTTATGAATGCTCAATGTGTTTTTCCCGCTCAGCTCCGGGACCGTCCACATCCGGCGAGAGCTCGAAGACGTTAAAGGCGCCCGCGGGTCTCGCCGTCGGCAGCAAAAGATCAATCCAAGCCATGATGGATAAATCTGAGACCTACAAGTCTCTCTTCACCTCCCACAGCTCTGCCAAACGGACCAAAGACCAGATCTCCAACTGGGTCACACACACACCGTACCACTTTTGAGTGCGCTCTTCCTAGTGAAGCTCGCCCTCTAGTGGTCAGGTTTAGGCGGAGCGACTCTCTGCTGGATTAATGCATAGTTTTAGCTTATTTCTTGCATTTTGTATTTACCTCGAGCCGATCATCTTAATTTAGTCGCATGATTAAGTGTTTGTTGGCTCGTCTTTGCCATTTTCATTATTTGACTGGATTGTGCTTTGCAGCAATATCTTATTTTAAACCACTTAATTTCAGTGACCTATCGCAGTAAAACAAGTTTATAGGCTGTATGTTTTCCATCCTCCTGAAAGTGTCAGTATAAGTGAAATAACCCTCTAGTTACAGTAGTTATGCGTTGTACTTTTAAAGGTGCGTTATTTGTGGATACAATAAAGGTCCAATCTGGGGAAAAAAAAATCATGCATCATTTCTTATAATTTGTTAGTTATTCCACTGAGATTCTACTTTTGACCACAGGGTGGCAGTAGATATCTACGAATAAATGCTTTCCCAGTCAATCCCTCTTAGATCAGTTGTAGCTGACAGTCTGCAGTTCCTTTATGTGTGTGTGTGTGTTGCCTGGTAAAACTACATTATTGGGACAAAATGCTCCTAAAGATGGCAATATCCAAAATCCGTGTCCATGTGGAGACATCTGTTTGGTCCCCATGAGGAAAAAAACGTCTTATAAATCAGACTCAGTCATGTTTTGTTTTTTTTTAATTTAAAATTGCTAAATGTTTTCTGTGATGGTAGGTTTTAATGGTAGGGTTAGTTTCGTGGGATAAAATATACAGTTTGTACAGTATAAAAGTCACTGTCTATGGAAAGTCCCCATAAAATATGAGAACACAACGTGTGTGTGTCGTCAGTTACAGCAATGTGCGTGAGAAAGCCTGAGAAATACCTAAAGTGTCAGTCAAACTTCACAATGCCTTGTATTAATTATACTGTCAGAATTTTGTGCAACATGAAGCTGTTATTACGCATATTTAAATAGAAAGCTTATTTATAGAAAGCCTTGCAGGACTAATGAAATAATATGGGCTGAGGAAGGTTCAAAATATCAGCTAAACATTTTTATTTATTTTTTTTACATTGCTTTAACTCATTAAAAATAAGTTGAGATGACTTTTAAGGTCATTGTAACCTACTTAATTTAAGGCAGACATTTTCTTTTTCTTCTTTTAGTCACTAAATCACGGATTTGAATGGGAAAGTCTGTCACGATAATTCGCTCTATCTTAATTAGTGCAATCATTGTTATAAATCCATAACCAGTCAACCGATTAGACCAAATGTGTGGGAATTCTTTTGATGGCCTTGTCTCGATTTTTAATTAAAGCGGTGTTGTGCAAGTGTGTTGCTCCTCCATGCACAGAGTTGACGTGATGACTAATCATCCTCATCGATCGGAATGTTCAGGTGTTCCGCGAGTCCGCGCATGCGCTCTGCCTGTCCTGCGCATCCAGGTGTACTGAACGGCAGGCGCGCGCGTGATGCGAGCATTCTCTGCTTCACTGCGGGACTGAACAGCGAGGAAAGCAGATGTCGATGCTGGAGAGGCTGGACTGGCGGGTAAGCTTTCAATTCAAGTCTTAATCGCTATTGCATAAAAATGCTATTTTAATAATCGACCTTTCGACAGATTTAGCATTAGTGTTGTTCATTTGTAGCTTATATTAAATGGTTTAAATTGGTGTAAACTGGCTCCAGTCCAGAACCTTCTACTTGCGTTTGCAGAACGTATAGCCTGAAGATATTACCAACAACAACTATTATTCATAATAATAATAACAACAAAATTGCCGTGGATGTAAACCATAACCAGTTAATACCTGCATTATCTCAGTGAAGACAATAGGAATCAATGCATTGGGTCTAATTATCTAAACATTTAATTCGGTCTTGTTATTAAGCCTTTTGCAAATTAAGGGGAAATAAACACAAGCACTTAATTATAATTGAACATTTACAGTAGGAGACACTCACCATTTCAGCCAATTAGAAATGAGCTACTATGTGAAAGCCTGTCAAAATTAAGGATTTACAAATTAAATCTACCGATTTGACATTTTTAAAAATAAAACGACAACATTTTGCTTGTTGGTTATAATTTGATTTGTGATCATGTTAACGAATGTTAAATAACAAACTGATTTAGCAGATTCTCTTCATTAATTTGATAGGTACTCATCTTTCATCTAAATGATTTTAAAAGGCTAATCATGCATGAGCTGCAATGTTTTTTGTGTCGCGTACACTTTGTTTGGTCACAAGTGTTAAAGTGACTAATATACACATGTGTTACAAGTTTTAAAGATAGGCTATAAGAAAAAATAGGTAAATTTCCGTAGATGTTTCCTTTAATTAAAATGGTTAAATTGAAATGCGATTGAGGTTAGTAATGGGTCATTCTGAAGTAGGCTATATTTAATACAATAACTAATGTTCAAGATTTAAAATGCTTTATACGCCCTTGTTTCTCTGTTAATGTTACACGGTTACAACTCAACTTTCAGTAGCAGATTATTGTGAGAATAATAAGTTTGCGCTACAGACGTTTAACCGTCCCCGGTTTCGAGTTATTTTATGGGCTATGTTAGGCCTATATGTGCTAATAAACAAATGATTAAACACAGAATGTATATTATATTTATTTTGATTGTATTTGATTGCGCTTTTCTTTGTTCCGGCCTGTTTCAAGAAACGTTCATTTGAAAAGTGCTTCAATTTTTCTATTTCTTTTTTAATTTTAATTTTAAACAAAACGAATTAATTCCTTCAATTAGTACGATTTTTTTTACAAAGCACTTTTTTTTTTTAGACATAGGCCTATTCATTTGTAAATGTCGCATTTTTGTTAATTTCGGGACGGTGAGTTTTGAGCTGAAATAAAACACGGAATGACAGTTGGGCTTACTTATAATTATTACAATACCATTTTGATGATTTAGCCTATCATTTAATTATTAAATAATTCGTAGTGATTCCGTTTTGCACCAGCGGCACAAGAGTTTTACGCTCCAGGCTCTTTTATCTCTAGATTCTGCAGGCATCTATATTTAATAATAATAATACTATTATTATTGTCTTATGACAACTGGCATTCCTGCATCTTAGTATTGCCTCGAGTGGAAGTTTTACTTGCGATTCCAGCAGGTTATATAAGAAGATGTTTGTCCCTCGGGGTTACAGTCGTTTCTGATGTGTGAAAGGATCTGACAGTAACACACACTCGCGCTGTGAAGCTTCTCTCACACACACCAAACCCGCTCGCGCTTCATTAAGTACAGGGATAAAACAGACACTATTACAATTCATTTTCTAATTTTCTGAATCTTTCTTTCTTTCTTTCTTTCTTTCTTTCTTTCTTTCTTTATTTCTTTCTTTCTTTCTTTCTTTCTTTCTTTCTTTCTTTCTTTCTTTCTCATTACTAATATTATATTTAATTTATGTTCCGCATTTTAGTATTGTGCACTGTAAAAAATTTATATTCATGATATTCAAAATATTTTCATGATTTGTAATCACATTTTTTCTTTTGTCAAATCAACTTAAATAATTTTTGTAGTTCAGATAACATAATATTTTGAGTTTCTGATGATCAATCTCCTTCATTGTATTAGCTCAATTTTTCCAGTTCAATGAACTTAAAATTTGAAGGCAACCAGGTTACTTCATTTTTTTACGTTAAACCAACAATATTTTTTTTACAGTGTAGCCTAGTATTTTATTTTCTAATGCTACATAACATAGCTATTATATTCAGAAAATAAATAGGCCTATATTCTTTATTTTCTTTTTTCTTTTTAATTCATTTTCTTTACAAAGTATAATCAGCATATACATTTGAATGGACAAGATTACATGAATATTATCTATCTATCTATCTATCTATCTATCTATCTATCTATCTATCTATCTATCTATCTATCTATCTATCTATCTATCTATCTATCTATCTATCTATCTATCTATCTATCTAGGCTTTCTGTCTGTCTGTCTGTCTGTCTATTTAATTCTTGCAAACAATTGGCCTAGGCCTATTTATTATTATTATAATTATTATGGAGTAAATAACGGTTAGTTTCAATTATAATAATTAGTGCATAATTTAACGCGCTTTGTTTGTATAATTAGTTTCAGTGAATCGGTAAACATCGCGACTTCTCGTCCAGGACAGATTTGGGCTTTGCACAGACGGATAGTTCTGTGATTGGTCCATCGCTCTGACAATGACCAATCAGACGCGGGCTCGCTCTGACGTAGCCAGTGCATTAGGTCACCGCCCACTGCTAGATCATCCAAATATAGTAGTGAGAATCTAAAGAGAGTCAGAGAGTCGAGCCTGAGTCTGAGTCCGTCAGAGGGAGTCGAGTGCTTCTGTTCTGCGTGTGTGTGTGTGTGTTTGGACCGGAACCCTCCAATTCGTTGCGCACAATTAGTTGTTGTCTCGAGCTGCATGAGTTTCTCTTCATTCATCCTTCTCCTTCAACACTGAGTTGATGCTTCACTTCTGCGCAGCGCGCGCCGGACTCTCTGGATTATATTCGAGAACACGAGCGATCCTCTCCACATCTCCACACATCTGAGACTCACGCGCGCGAACACAACATGCTGTGGAAATTAGCGGATAACGTGAAGTATGAGGATGACTGCGAGGTAAGAGGAAGAAGCGTTAGAATCTGGGTAAAGAGCAGCCTTTATTGGAGAATTAAGCATATGCGTTTTCTGTTTATGATTAAAAAAAATTGATTTAACATTTTCTATTTCCAAATAACATGCAAAGTGAACTCTGGTAAAAGTTACTGGTGATGGCTGGTTAGTTACGCGCGAAGTTGCATTATTGTGGTGGTAGGAAAATATATGCTATTGTTTTTTAAAGCTTTTTACAAAAACAAATAAATGAATTCGATATTTTAAATCTGACCTCGCGCAGATTTGCGACCATGCAAAGATTAAAATGCGTTCGTTTAATAGACGTGAAATAGACGTTTCGTCAATTCTAAATACAGTGTAAATTCAGAAACAATTGCATAATTTTGTGCATTTAGTCCCGCATTTAATAATAGCTAATAATAATAATAAAGGCTGTTGGCCTAAAAAATATGCGCAATGACAGCATTAAAAAATTGAATTTGAAACGCAATCATTTCACGTGGTTTTTATTTTCATCCAGATTTGACTGGATCTTTATGTGATTCCAAAGTGAATTTTCTCTCCTTTCCTTTTTTTTTATTCACGATATCATCAATAGCGCATGCACGATTGTTTTCGAATATCGGTTTTCAATATGAATATGAGTGCAAACTCTCAAGTGTAATGCATGTGGTCTCCATTAAGCTGTCTAGAAATGGCCCGTCGCTCATTGTCATTCATGTGTCTCTGGTGACAGTAACTATCGAGCAACTTTGCCAGACAAAAGGAGTCATGAAAGCTCTCCAGAGCTGAAAGACCAGCACGGCTGTTGATGTTTAAGTCATGTGAATTAGAAAGAGAACAAATGACACTGTAAAAATGTTTGGTTAGGTAACCCACAGAAAGGTTGCATAACATAACATCTAAATTAGCTCTGGCTGCTTGGAGTCAAAAACTCGTTTTGAGTTGCATTTAACTGCATGCAACAAAGTTGCATTTAACTGCATGCACTCTAAAAAAGCTGGGCTGTTTTAACCCAATTTTGGGTAAAATATGCGCAATCCCAGCCATTGGGTTACATTTTTAAATTACATTTTTAATCCAATGGCTGGGTTTGTCCATATTTTACCCAAAAATGTGTTAAAACAACCCAGCCTTTTTTAGAGTGTGTTTCAAGAAAACATTTATTCTGATGTTTTTGAGCTTGCATATCATTTCGGATGAAGAGCATGCATAGACTAAAGTTCAGTTTTTAATTTGCATAAAACATATTAACGCATGTATCCACACTCTAAACAATGCTGGGTTGTTTGAACCCAAATTTGGGTCAAAAATGGACAAACCCAAAATGTAATTTCAAATTTGAACCCAAACTTGTAAATTCTTTAATAGCATTTTTAACCCAACATTTGATTTTAACCCGATGTGCATCATTTCCAAGACCAATAATTTTAAGGAAACCAAATAAAGCATTTTTTTTCTCCCCAATTTAGACTTTAAAAGTTTTTACGATCTAAACAATGCCGGGTTGTTTTAACCCAAATTTGGGTAAAATATTGACAAACCCAAATGTTGGGTTAAAAATGTTCAACTTTCAATTCTTCATTTTTTTTTAATAGCATTTTTAACCCAACATTCGGGTTTGTCCATATTTAACCCAAATTCGGGTTCAAACAACCCAGCATTTTTTAGAGCGCATCATTTCAAAGACATATAAAGCATTTTATTTCCAATTTAGTCTTACACTCTAAAAATGCTGGGTTGTTTTAACCCAACTTTGGGTCAAATATGGACAAACCCAGCCACAGGGTTAAAAAAGGCAATTTAAAAATGTAACCCAATGGCAAACCCAGCATTTTTTAGAGTGTATGTTTTTATTACCTCTTGCTTGTGAAATTCATGCATTTGTCAGATTGCATGTCATCAGAATACGTTTAATGTGGTGCACTCTCTATTTTAGCAGGAAAGACATGATGTTAGCAGCAACGGGAACTCCCGATTACCTCACATCCCAGCGGTGAGCCAGCACCTCTACAGCCCGCCACCGTCCCTCTCACACACAGCCAGCTCGGACTTCCAGCCCCCGTACTTCCCCCCGCCGTACCAGCCTCTGCCGTACTCGCAGTCCGGCGACCCGTACTCTCACCTCGACCCGTTCAACATCAACTCTCTGCACCAGACCGCAGCCTCCAACCAGCAGCAGTCGTGGCCGGGCCGGCAGGGTCAAGAGCCCATCGGGAGCCACGGGCGCGTGGGACTCGGGAGCCCCATCATGGGCCTGGACGGGGGCTCGTCCGGGATGAGGCGGGACGGCTTCAGGAGGCCCGATCTGCTGCCCCCACACATACACGGAATCGACTCCATAGGTGATAACATCGGATTGCACGACATAGGTCACGGAATGGATGATGTTCAGGTGAATGTTTATTTAATACTCTTCTTTTTGTTTGTTTTGATTAAATAGACAGTGATGCATTTCCTGGTCATTTCTTGCAGCACGAAGGTGATCACAGTAGTGTAATTCCTGATCACACGGTCATCAAAAAAGGTTGGTTGCATTTTTGTTTTCTAACATGAATTTTGATTCAAAATGTTTAGTGTATAATCTTTTTAAATCACTTTGGTGTGACAAATGAAACTTCAAATATTCCACACTCTAAAAATGCTGGGTTGTTTTAACCCAACTTTGGGTCAAATACGGACAAACCCAAACGTTGGGTTAAAAATGTAATTTAAAAATTTTAACTCAATCGCTGGGTTTGTCTATATTTGATCCAACGTTGGGTAGAGTGCATGCAGTCTCTCAATAAACTATAATCATAAAGAATTCGCATGCTATTTCTAATAATCAATCACACTTTCCTCATTATCAGCTGACTTTTGCTTCAATAAACTCATAATTACTGCTTTTAATATCACTCTAAACATTGCAGGGTTGTTTTAACCCAACTTTGGGTCAAATATGGACAAACCCAGCCATTGGGTTACATTTTTTTAATTACATTTTTAACCCAACGTTTGGATTTGTCCACATATGACCCAAAGCTGGGTTAAAACAACCCAGCATTTTTAGAGTGTAGTTTAGGTATTTAGTCGGATTAAGAGATGTAGAATATGATCATGCAGAATAAGGCATTAATATGTGCTTTATAAACAGACAATATAGTAATATGCATGCTAATAAACTAGTTAATAGTGAGAGTTATACCCTAAACTAAAGTGTTAACAAATTATATTATTTGCGGTATAGTTGAGGTGGTACTGGTTCATACATATATATCACTAATCCTTCTGGCCATGTGTTCCATTGAACTAATCTGGCAATGATCCGCGGGGCATTCTGCCACTCTTTCATGAATGGAAAGCCAAAGAAAGGATTTCTCTCAAAATGGCAGACTAGCCAAAGTTGTAGATGTTGGGCAATCCTTAAAATGGTGTTTGCTCAGAGAGAGGAGGCCTAGGCCTGCTTTAGAACACTGTCAGAACGCAATTCTGCCCCACTACACACACACACACACACACACGCACGCACAGAAGAAGACAAGAATCAACTGTTGTCGGGGTGTGGCTGCTTTTAAACATGCATGGGTATTTCGTTCAGTCATATGCTGTGACATGAAACCTTAAATAAGCGAAACCCAAAAACACTTCTGAACGTCTGTTTGTTTAGTGGTATCACGAGCTGTTGAGATCAATGATTTATTTACTTACCCAATTAAGGACTAAAATTTAATGAAACCAGAATGCCTACGTTTGCAACAGAGTGTTTGTTTAGTTTTGTTCAGGTTGACATCTCATTTGACTAACTTCTCCAAATGCATGTGCACCACAATACCATTGTTTAATTGGTCCTGCGTGACCTTTGACATGAAAAAGGCATTTTCTCCTTCCTTTTTAAAAGATAATATTCCTATTTTTTTTTGTTGCTACAAAAGCTATGATCAGCTTTTTATAATACGCATATACAGAACAGGTTTGTAACCTAGCCTGATTAATTCCACAAGCACTTGAGATTCCTGCAAAGCTGTCAATTGGAACAAATGAGAAGAATGTGTAAACACCCATAGATGCACTAAAGATCGAATTGAATGCAAAAAAAAAAGAGCTAAAAAAATGAGGTGTTTTGGTGTGTGTTGATTGACAGATTCTGCCATGCATTTTTGTCAGGCGGTAATTTAGACATTCTTGCCTTGCTGAATTAATGTCTATGTCAATCTTTTAGTGCTCATGATTATAGCATGGATGACTCTGCGTTCTGGTTCATGTCAAAATTTATGTTACATCATACACTCTAAAAAAAATGCTGGGTTGTTTTAACCCAACTTTGGGTCAAATTTGGACAAACACAAATGTTGGGTTAAAAATGTTATTTAAAATTTCACTTTCAACTGTGATTTTTTTTATTGCATTTTTAACCCAACATTTGGGTTAGTTCATATTTGACCCAAAGTTGGGTTAAAACAACCCAGCATGTTTTAGAGTGAATCATCTATACCATCTCAACCTCAACTTTTGCAAATACAAATAATATTTATTATTATTCTCACTGTAAAGAATCTCTGAATATCTTATGCTAATGAAGCTTAACCGTGCGTTTTCTCCTTACACTCTAAAAAAAATAATTTTGGGTCAAATTTTTTCAATTATATTTTTAACCCAAAGCTTGGGTTTGTACATATTTGACCCAAAATTGGGTTAAAACAACCAAGCATTTTTTAGAGGACTGATTTTGATATTCGTGTTGTATTATATCATATCTGTGTTATCGTCTGTTGTGTGTGTATGGTCTATTCAAGTTAGAATAATTAGTCAAAATCGAATCTTTGTTAATATGATTCTCTGTTATCCACAATTATTTGATTAAGGTTTCATTTGTTACCATTAGTTGACAGTGAAAAAGACAGCATTTATTAATTGTAGTTATTTCAATGTTTACTAATACATTATTAAAAATCAAAAGTTGGATCTGTTAATGTGATTTAATAAAGCTAACATTAACTACACTCTGAAAGTGCTGGGTTGTTTTAACCCAGCTTTGGGTCAAATATGGACAAACCCAAACGCTGGTTTAAAAATGTCATTACAAAATTGAACCCAATCGCTGGGTTTGTCCATATTTGACCCAAAGTTGGGTTAAAACAACCCAGCACTTTTTTAGAGTGTATGACTGATTTTAATATTCGTGTTGTATTATATCATATCGATGTTATCGTCTGTTGTGTGTGTATAGTCTATTCAAGTTAGTCAAAATCGAATCTTTGTTAATATGATTCTCTGTTATCCACAATTGTTTGATTAGCTTATTTGATTAAGCTACACTCTAAAAAATGCTGGGTTGTTTTAACCTGGGTTAAATTTTTACATTACATTTTTAACCCAACATTTCGGGTTTGTCCATATTTGACCCAAAATTGGGTTAAAACAACCCAGCATTTTTTAGAGTGTAACATTAACTACACTCTAAAAAATGCTGGGTTGTTTTAACCCAACTTTGGGTCAAATATGGACTAACCCAGCCGTTGGGTTAAATTTTTATATTACATTTTTAACCCAACATTTCGGGTTTGTCCATATTTGACCCAAAATTGGGTTAACACAACCCAGCATTTTTTAGAGTGTACACTCTAAAAGTGCTGGGTTGTTTTAACCCAGCTTTGGGTCAAATATGGACAAACCCAAACGTTGGGTTAAAAATGTAATTACAAAATTGAACCCAATCGCTGGGTTTGTCCATATTTGACCCAAAGTTGGAGTGTTTTTAGAGTGTAAGATGAATGAATACTGGAACAAATGTATTGCTCTTTGTTAATGCATTATCCAATAGGATTGTATTTTAAAGTGTTGGCCTAATCTGTTGATTCTGTATTTGTGAAGCTTGTTTGGTTGACGGCACCGATGTGTTTCTCGTCTCCAGGTCCGGTGTCCCTGCCGAAGGGAAATGCGTTTGGAATTCCCTTTCAGAAAGAGTCTCTGCTGGGAATGGTGTCGAACCCCACCGAGGTCTTCTGCTCCGTCCCCGGACGCCTCTCTCTTCTCAGCTCCACTTCCAAGTACAAAGTAACCGTGGCCGAGGTTCAGAGACGCTTGTCTCCACCGGAGTGTCTGAACGCATCTCTGCTCGGAGGGGTTTTACGCAGGTGAGCAGTTCATCTATTATATGACAGTCGATACTGCTGATATATTCACGTGTAAGACTGGAGCAAATAACAAAAAGATTGCTGGGTGAACTTCATCCGGGTCATATTTCATCAAAAATCCAAAGCAAATGAAGCATATTTAAATACCACTGTGACATTATTTTCATAACAGTTACTCACATATTTACCACAAATTACCATTATCATAATGCAAAATAATGATGTGAAATAAAACCATTGAGTTTTATGGTAGTATAAGATTTCATTAAAAAGTATTACAATCGTTTACTGTAATGCAGTGAAAAATGTCAAATGTTAATCAGAATTGAAAATAATTGCTATAAACTCAAAAGTATGCTTAGCATGAAAATTGTCAAGGTCTTAAAACAAGCTATTTTCTCTCTAAAAAATAATTTCTTAAGTTTTGTCTCTTGATTTTGGGGAGAAATATGAGATTTGTTTGTGAGTGCATGTGGAAATCATGGTAAACGAAAAGTTAGATTTTATGTAGAATAATGTTTCATACTATCTAGCTTCATTTGTGTGTGTATAGATGAGATGTTGCTGATTTTAATTTCAGTACAACAGACACAACCTGCTCTGTAATAAAAGTAGTTTGAACTTAAAAAAAGTAATTGTTCGTGCCGCCTTAACTCAAACATCCATATTCACATTTCAAGTTGTATCAATCTATTGTGATCACCTTAATTGGGCACGCACACAAAAATCATATGACTAATACAAGTCACAAGACAAGTCACACACACACACAAAAATATTATGAGTCACATAAAAAAATCAATCAATAAATAAAAAAAACTACGGAAGAGGATTAGGGCCAAGCAATAATACAAAAATTAAACCATCTTGAGATTAAAGTCATTATGGGAAGTTTTTTCTCGAAACACAACGACTTTATTATTGTTATTTAATGAGTTTATTCTCAAGATTGCATTTAAACTTTTTTCTTGAAATTTAAGGATTTTCTTCTCGAAACACAACGACTTTATTCTCGATATTTAATGAGTTTATTCTCAAGATTGTATTTCGACTTATTTCTCGAAATTAATGAGTTTTTTCTCGAAACACGTCTTTATTCGCGATATTTAATGAGTTTATTCTCAAGATTGTATTTCGACTTTTTTTCTCGCAATTTAACGAATTTTTGTTCTCGCAACGCAACGACTTTATTCTCGATATTTAACAAATTTATTCTCAAGATCGTATTTTGAGTTTTTTTTCTCTAATTTTAACGAGTTTTTTCTCGAAACAGAACGACTTTATTCTCAATATTGTATTTCGACTTTTTTCTCAAAATTTAACGAGTTTAATCGAGTTTAACGAGTTTAATCATTATAATGACTTTAATCTCGAGATGTTTTTTTTATTTTTATTATTGCTTGACCCTAATCCTCTTCCGTAAATAACGAATGCAAATAATAAGAAAAGAAAAAAAAAATCTATAAAAAAATTACACATCACTATAAAAATGGCTAAATATCAAAATCCTCATTTAACCCTAAAGGTGACAAAGTGCTTAAGGCAAGGCAAGTTTATTTATATAGCACATTTCATACACAGTGGCAATTCAAAGTGCTTTACATGGAAGAAATTAAAATAATCAATAATCTTAAAATGAAAAATAATAAAATAATCTTAAAGTATAAATCCCAAAACATTCCCTCTGTAATAATTTCTTCTCTTAGAGGATTTTGTAACAATATGTGTCTGACGCAAACACACTGAGATTGGTTAAGTAGGTCATATAGCACAAGCGTTGTGGGGGGGAGGGGGTGTCGCACTTACTCATGCCTCCTGCTAACAATCCCTTAACCCCACAAGTGAAGGGTGATGCCAGGCCACAACTCTAGTCATGCATATCACTGAGGCCGAACAGCAAGTGGGCCTTTTGTCTGCATTTTCGTTGCACTGCATTTTAAACACTTGAGCTGTGACATCATTTTGTTTCATGAGCCTGTTTATTCATGTGAATCTGGGTCCAAAACCTCTTTCCACATCGGCCTCCAAGTTGTATAACATAAACAAAACAAATAAAATCCATGTGTTTCACCTGTGGTAATTGAGCCTTTCGCTCTTGGTTACGGCATTGCTCGCTCAGACGAGCTTTATAGAACACAAGTGCATTTTTTGCTAAATGCTTACATATTTTGGAAAGTACAATCAAGTCAAATGTATTTATAAAGCGCTTTTCGAATCACATTTTCAGAGCAGCTTTACATAAATGAATGTTTATCTTCATGCCTTATAGTTGCATTTTGCAGATTACAGCTGGGAGATAATAGAGTTTACAGTATACACGAGTAATCATGTATGAGGTGAAGTTGGACATACTTTAAATAAGCAGATGTGCAGTAATATAATAAAAAGCTCAGCAATAATATAGCCATGACTATAATAACTCCACCTGGGTTTCTTAGCAAACATGCACAAAAGCTTGTCTGATAACATAGGATTGGTAGGTTTAGCTAAAGGTCACTAATGAAATTCACAAATTTCAATGTGCTAATTTTTGTTAATTTTAATACAAAGGGCAAAGTCAAAGAACGGCGGCCGATCCCTGAGGGAGAAACTGGATAAAATTGGGTTGAACTTGCCAGCGGGTCGCAGAAAGGCTGCTAACGTCACCTTGCTAACCGCCCTGGTGGAAGGTAAGCACTTTACTGTAAATCAGTCAATTGTCCACTTCAGTTACTGTAAAACCATTCATTGGCACTGCTAAGAAAATTTTTTAGTTTACAAAAATGCTTAAAGGAGTAGTTCACTTTAAAAAAAAAACTTTTGCTGATAATTTACTCGCCCCCATGTCATCCAAGATGTCCATGTCTTTCTTTCTTCAGTCGAAAAGGAATTAAGGTTTTTAGAAAACATTCCAGGATTTTTCTCCATATAATGGACTTCAATGGGGTCCAAACGGTTCAAGGTCCAAATGAGAGTTTCAGTGCAGCTTCATAGGGCTTTAAATGACACCAGACGATGAATAAGGGTCTTATCAAGCGAAATGATTGGTCATTTCAAAAATAAATACAAAAGTTTATGTTTTATAAGCTCAAATGCTCGCCTTGCTCTGTTCTGTGATGCAAGACCTCTCCTGTGATTCAAGACTCTCCTGTTCGAACTCGTTCATCAAAACGAAAGAATCTTTTTTCGAGTCATTCGGTTAATTTTGTTCATTGAATGAACCAAATGACTCGAAAAAAGATTTATTCATCAAAATGAAACTCGTTCATTTTCATGTAGTTCGAACTCGTTCATCAAAATGAACGAATCTTTTTTGAGTCATTTGGTTCATTTCATTCACTGAAACAGGAGAGTCACTTATGAAACTGAAACTTTTTTATTTATTTTTTAAATGAGCGCTCGTTTCGCAAGATAAGACCCTTATTCATCATCTGGTGTCGTTTAAAGCCCTTTGAAGCTGCACTGAAACTCTCATTTGGACCCCATTGAAGTCCATTATATGGAGAAAAATCCTGGAATGTTTTCATCAAAAACCTTCATTTCTTTACGACTGTAGAAAGCAACACGTGGACATCTTGGATGACATGGGGGTGAGTGAACTATCAGCATACGTTTTTTTTTGTTAAAGTGAACTACTCCTTTAAACAAACGCTTTGGAAGTTCGATTGTAACTAACCTGTTCCCAATTCAAACTTCCATAGAGCTAGTAATAATTCAACACATAAAATGCATGCAAAGGTCATACACGTTACTCAGCACTACTCATGTATTGGCAGCAGAGTCTCAAGTCTTTAATTTCTTGACATTTCATCTCCACTTTTACCTTTTGCGCGAGTATAGCGAACCGATGCGTCACAGAGACATTAGCTCAAAGATCACGAGTTAACTAGCACCAGGAGCGATGCAGAATACTTTTAGCTCTCTCGTTTAATGTCACCATTCTCACCACTAATGGGAGCATGGGTCTGAAGCAGGAACATGACTAGAAGGCGTAGTTATTTACAGACCTTCAAAGCTGAATTAGGGCTTGTTATCACATGTTCGCTAGCCAAGAGGAGAGACTGACCTTAAAGATGACGACTGTGAATAATGTGCTAGTCTATCAATAAGAGCCTGTCGGGTCTAGGGGACCGTTGGACGCCTTCAGCTACAAAGCCTCATTAAAGACGCACAGTGTATCCACAAGAGAGAGTCTATTCGTCTGAATCCATCTCAGTTTAGAGAGCAAACGAGTCATGATCCGACGTTGAATCATCGTGAGTCACCTCTGATCTCGTCTACAGGTGAGGCCGTACACCTGGCGAGGGATTTTGGGTACGTCTGTGAGACAGAGTTTCCCGCGAAGGCCATCGCCGAATACCTTGGCCGACCGCACGTGGAGCGCAATGAGATCAGCTCTCGCAAAACCATGCTCTTGGCAGCCAAGTGAGTAACCATCCATCCGTTTGTTCTCGTTAATCCCAAGGTTAGGGTGGCCAAGCCCATTATTAAGAATGAGAAAGCTTCCTGCTTAATGGTTTAATACTTTAACCGGTCGTCTAATCTTCCAGGCAAATCTGCAAGGAGTTCACCGACCTGCTGACTCAGGACCGATCTCCCCTGGGAAACTCTAGGCCAGCTCCCATTCTGGAGCCAGGGATTCAAAGCTGCCTGACTCACTTCAGCCTCATCACCCACGGCTTCGGCTCTCCGGCCATCTGCGCGGCCATGACCTCGCTGCAGAACTACCTCAACGAGGCGCTCAAACAGGTGGACAAAATGTACATGGGCTCGAGCGGGGACTCCTCGCAGGCCTCGTCCGATGGCACCAACAAAGTAGATAAGATGGACAAGCACAGAAAGTGAGCTGAATCGAAACAATTTGGACGCAATAACCGTTTTTGTAGCGGTTTTTACGTCGTCGTTGTCGTTGTAGTTGTTTCCGTTCTGCTTTGTTTTTCCGACAAGGTCCACGTCTTGGTCTTCCGGCACTTTCTCCTCCACAGACACAACACACATTTCAATGCTCAGCCTTAGTCGAGAGAGTCGGGTCATCGTCATCGTCATCGGGAAGTTGTCTCCCAGAGGGGAACTGCAAAGAGGAAGTTGTTGAGACACCATTTCAAGAGTTATTGTGGATTTTAACAATCGCTATCGATCTGGGAGGAGGAAGTTTCGTTTCTCTGTGTCCTCCTCCTTGGTGCTGACCTCCTTATGGACTTACCAATGATGTGTGACATTATAACTTGCTTCATTGGACGCAGTGTTATTGTTCTTCTGTTTGTGGGAGTGACAGTTTTGTGTGCATGGATATATATATGATATGATTCCTAAACAACCCTTTTATTACGCTAGAAATTTGGCTTAAATTGAACAACCGAGAGCAATTGTTGGAGTTTTGATTAAGTTAGAATGATCAAATATCATACGTGTGTGTGTGCGTGCGCATGTTCAGTTTTGCGTCTTTTCGATGCATCTTTACGTCAGACTAGAAGTTACGTTTTCCATTCGTCTTTCCCCAAATGTAAATATTTTCTAATTTATGTTGTAATTTAATGGGATTTGTAAATATTGGTACAATTATGGTGTTTGGTTCCACTTTTTTTTTTTTTTTAAAGATGTGTTAAGCTTTTATAAAGGGGTTTGTTTTTTTATCATATAGGCTAGTGGTTAGGCTCTGGGATCGATATTCTTTATAAATATGTGTAATATTGGTTTGAAGCTGTAGGAATAAAAACTCAACACTCTTGAATCGCATTGACCAAGACTCCCCGTTTATGACGTCGAGTTGCACACTTCACTACACGCGTGCCAGTGAGGCATGCTGAACATAGACTATTCATGTGTGTCAAATAAATGTCAGCAATGCCCTCAGACTCATTAAATATAAAAAAGCAGGCCATCCGAAAGCTTTCCTCCGAGAAAACACCTGTCTTACCTGGATTAGCTACGAATGTTTGCTCGAAACACACCGTTCCCTTCCTTTCATAACCACGATTATTTCGCAAATTGGCGTGAGAGGACAACAGTGATGTGTGTGTGTGTTAGTTTTGATTAGTTTTCATATTTAAATCCTCTGTTATGAAAGTCTCAACACGGTTTCGTGAAGTGATAACAAAGCCATAAGATAATATTGACCCTAACGCTTTTCTTTATCTTTATATCATCCTACTTTATTATTAATGCACCATGTGGTCGGTTGCGAAATCAATCAACGTTTTATTCTTTAATCCTTTTGTTTGTAAAGATAGCATGTGTATCTCACTTTGTTTAGATTCAGATGCCTGATATCGCATCTCCTGATCAAAACCATCCCCTATCTTAACTCGTTCTCACAGCAAGTCGGTTTCTTGCAGGTGTGTGTGTTCGTCTCCGTTGAGTGACTGACTCATGCAACTGAACTGACAGGAGAGCAAGTGTGAGCTTCTCCCCTCAGAACCTGTTGGACCGGACGCGTGGCTTTGCCCGTTGACTGTAACCGCCTGCACTTATTATTCGGATTTTTTTCCTGCACACGTCTGTAAGTTGAGACACACCGGCTTTGATGGTCGACTGTAGTGTTTGTGGCAGAGCTTTCCTCCTTGAAAGGTGTTGATCGGTGAGAAACGTGGACACACACACCCACATCGACGACCGTGATGATGACAAGTGTACACGGAAGTTTTACAAAAAGCTTGCGACATAACTTTATAGAAAGCTACATCCTGAGGATACGTTGTGCTTGTTTGTATTGGTTGCAACCCAAGTCTGAAAATGGCAACTGGTGTGTAATTGAAAACGTATGGAGACAAACATGAAGACTCAATCTTATCACGCTATATGAAGCAAAGCCGAGTGCTGTTGCCTTTGTACAATGCCTCAATGTTGTGTTGTGAGTGAGTTCGCGTTTCGCGTTTGTTTAAATCACTTATCCAAAAAATTAACATTTTGTTATCGTTGACTCAACCTCATGTTGTTTTAAACATGTGAGAAACTAAATATGAAATTTCAAAAATTTTCATGGCCTTACCATGAAAGTCAACGGGTTCAAATGCTGTTAGTGCATGAGCTAAAAGTCAAAGTATTCGTCAGAATATCATTTACAAAGTCTGTTTTCATATTAAATTTAAATAAAAACTTCTAAAGTGATAGTTAACCCAAAAATGAAAATTCTGTCATCATTTACTCGCCATTTACTTTTGGTTACCCTTAAATATCTTCTTTTGTGTTCAGTAGAAGAAAGAAACTTGAGCTTGGCGTGTAAATGATGATAAACTATCCCTTTAACCTTTTTTAATCATAATTTATATTTTTTTTATTAAACCAATACCTTAATATGCATGAAATTTAATTAGTTAAAATAGCCACAGGCATTAGCTGTGTTGCTATGCTAAGCTAACATCAACGCCATCTCGTGTTCTGGTTTTGCATAAATTACTGTTAATATATGCAAATATCCTTATTAAGATGTGCAAAGCTTATTTGTTTAGTGGCATATCTAGGTTTCTTGCAACCCATGATTGGATGACCAATGCTAACGCAGGTCAAAGGCAATAGCGTAAAATGCTACGCTTCCGGATGACAGCATTTTACAGTATATGCGCATTAAGAAAACAAATCTATTCTCAGACTACATCTCAAGCACATGAATAATGGCACTGTTGTTTGCCGTCATACCTTTATTTCTGTCTCTCCGAGAATCTCTTCTAGATGAAACCACTCTATAACCTGTAGTAACACATTTCCTTGCATTTCTCAGCTGTCTGTCACTGTCTGGTTTGTGTTAGGAGTCATTAGCAGTGACACTGATGGAAATAGTGACTAAACCGCTCTTTGAATGCTGTTTGTAAAGTCCCTCAACTCCAGTGCCTGGATGTTTCAGAAAGATGTTGAAGAGAAATATAATATTTAGATGGAAATGTCGGATGTTGTCGTACACATGGAAGAGGGGGATGTTGCAAGAGTCAAGCCGAGTGGTTGCTTGCTGGTATGAGGAAGCCAAATAATGGGAACATAAAAGTTGGCGGAGAGACGGATGTGTGTGTGTGTGTGTGTTTAATGGGGGGCAGGAACAAAGAATTCCTGCAGAAAATGCCGGGAATGAATTTAAATTACAGGCAATGAGGAATTCTTCCTGCATGTTGGATACAGGCACCTGGTGTGTGTGTGTGATTGGGTCGTGGGTCATCCTTTTAAGTAGTTCACTTTAAAAAAAAACTTTTGCTGATAATTTACTCACCCCCATGTCATCCAAGATGTCCATGTCTTTCTTTCTTCAGTCGAAAAGAAATTAAAGTTTTTGATGAAAACATTCCAGTATTTTCTCCATATAATGGACTTCAATGGGGTCCAAACGGTTCAAGGTCCAAATGAGAGTTTCAGTGCAAACTGCAAACTGTTCAAAGGGTTTTAAACAATTTCAGACGAAGAATACGGGTCTTATCAAGCGAAAAGATCGCTCATTTAATAATAATAAAAAAAAGTTTAAGTTTTATAAGCTCAAATGCTCGTCTTGCTCTGTTCTTTGATGCGTGTTCATGACTCTCCTGTTCGAACTCGTTCATCAAAATGAATGAATCTTTTCCCGAGTTAATTCGTTCATTTCGTTCGTTGAATCAACCAAATGACTCGGAAAAAGGATTAGTTCGTGAATGAGTTTGAACAGGGGAGTCACGAACGAGCATCACAGAACAGAGCAAGGCGAGCATTTGAGCTTATAAAACTTAAAGTTTTTTATTTATTTTTGAAATGAGCAATCATTTCACTTGATAAGACACTTATTCATCGTCTGGTGTTGTTTAAAGCCCTTTGAAGCTGCACTGAAACTCTCATTTGGACCTTGAACCGTTTGGACCCCATTGAAGTCTATTATATGGAGAAAATCTTGGAATGTTTTCATCAAAAACCTTAATTTCTTTTCGACTGAAGAAAGAAAGACATGTACATCTTGGATGACATGGGGGCGAGTAAATTATCAGTAAAAGTTTTTTTTAAAAGAGAACTACTCCTTTAAGGATCAGTCTCCAGATATTTATTTTATTTTATTTTAAGCTTTTGCATTTGTGTTTGGACAGGACTCTCTGTTTGGGGACCAATGGAAGACTAATGGGAGACTTAAGTACTAATAGCCTAACTATAGAGGCCGAACCCTGAAGCGATATTTTTTACCTTTATCACAATAATTTAGAATGAATAATTATGAACAGATCAGTAAATTATTTTTGGTATAGTGTCACTGTTTTTATCTAACAGAAAATGTTCTGAAAAAAAAAAACTAAACATGCATACATAAAACAAATATTATTATTATTTTTTTAATTATTGTGTTTAAAAAAATGCAAATTGGCTAAAAGTCCATTTAAAAATTATTTTAAAAAATAATATATTGAAATAAATTGAATTAGTTTGTCCTGTTAAGTGCGTTTTTAATCAGAAAGCGAGAAACAATCAGATACGTATTTATTATTTATTAACTTATTCTTAAAGTCATAATTGTTAATGACTACACAATAGCGCGGTTTCCTGAACGCCCCAGAACAGTGCATGCTGGGACAGACAGATTTATACGCTATCCTGAACTGGCTCCTCTTCGTCCGATCTTGGAGCCGTTCTGTGGGAATGTGATGGTCTGCCTGCGTCTCCAGTGTCAGCCACCCAAACACCCCCTCCCTCGTCACAACACGTACGGCCAATTAGCCTGCGCTAGCGAAGCCGCGGCCTCCTCACCCCTCCGCGGCAGACAACAGATGTCCGTCTTTCTGCGGGAACGCTCCAAAACAGCAAGATGGTTCTTTGCTTTCTCAGAAACAACCATTACCTACTTTCCTGCGCAAGGAATTACTCCACGGCTCACAAGACATATCCAGCTTAATTAAAAGCATCTGTCCCGCCTAGTGAAACGCAGCTAGTCCTGTTTATTCTCCTATAATGCACTAAACAGCGCTAATCAAAACAGCCTGGCTGAGTTCCCTGTCCAACACTGAAGCCATTATCAGATGCAAGGGCTCTCAGTTTTCTAAGAGCACTTTGTTTGAGCTTTTCTAGCAAAAAAACGAAACAAAAAACAAGAGTTTGTCTTGTTTGGTCTTTAATTATCTTACATTTGATGCGAAACAAGGCCATAAGGGTACATGGATAATAAGTCTGTTATGTCCAGTGCAAATTTTTGATCAATGTTTTGTCCATTAAACTGTTGACGTCCAAACCGGCTCTTCTATTGATGTTAATCCTGCATGTTCATATCACCATATGGCTGATTCTCATGGTCCTGGGACGCTGCTTTAAGCCGGGATGCTAACTGTACGATGTGAACGACTGTTAGTAAACCACCTGTCACTGATGCTGCGTGATGATCCTTTATTTTGATCATCTCTTTGACTCCCACTTGTAAAATGTAGGCTAAGTGTCATCATGATCCATTGACATTTTATACACTTTTTTTGTTGCTGTTTAGGACACATTAAATTGGTCAAAAGTGACCGTAAAGACGTAACATTACAAAATATTTCTATTTCGAATTATTTTAGAAATTCTATTCATCAAAAAATCCTGAAAAAAAAAAATACCGATTTTGAAGAGTGCGCATGTGCGAACGTGCTCTACTATGTAAGAACGAGCCAAATATTGAGTCTGGTAATAAAGCAAAATAACTGAGAACAATTAGAAATAGTCCTCAGATGACATGTCTGTAATTTATATGAACAAATCTAGCGTTAATTGGATCTCAAACAGTTTCATTAAAAGTAGTTATTACTCCACCACGTGCGAAACCAACGTGG